TTTGTATATGATAAAATATTGTATAAATAAATACGACAGCTGTGCAAAACTTATAAAAAAAATTTTCTGAAATTGAAATAAAAAAATTTAAAAAAATGTTATAACTATGCAGAAAAAATTTAAATTGAACTTATTTAATTATATTAATTATTAAAAATTAACTACATACAAAAAATATATATTTATAAAAAGAAATTATATTTTCCTTAATCACTTATGAAATGTATTTTTGTAATTTTATTATATATAAAAATTAAACTTCTATATATATAAAGCTTATAATATTTACTTAAGACTGTAATTTTTTATATAAACTTTTTTAAAAGTGTTAGCAAAAAATATTGCGATATAATTTTTATTTAATAAATTTTATTGTATTTAAATAAATCTTATTGACATTGCTAGTGAAATTTGGACACAATTTAAATATTTTAATTTTAACTATATGTTAACAGTTTAATAACGAATTTATATTAGGAAATCGATATATATATTTTATTTACTTTAAATTATTCTTTGAAGAAAAAAGTTCTTTTCGTAAATTGATGATTTATAACCTAAAGATAACTTCTATAATACTATGGCAGTTAATATAAAGGTATTTAAAGATATTTGATTCTAGAATACTATGGCAGTTAATGTAAAAGTATTTAAAGATATTTGATACAATCATTTTAAAGGTAAAATAAAATTATTATTTCAAGATTAACAAAAAAGCTATTTACTATTTATTCAATATATAACACATAATGATTTTGATTGAAAAACTTTTAAATAATATTATAATATTTTATGCAAAGTTTTTAAATATGTAAAAATTATTACATAAAGTTAGAATTTAATAATTCAGAAAATTCCGGGTGGATAATAGACAGATATATAGAAAAGCTGGTTTTTAAATTGGCAAAGTGCATACTTAAGAATTGGACCGTTGTATTGTCATCCGGATATAAAGCAAAAAATAAAGAATGCGTGGACTTGATTTTTTAATTTCTTTGGTTGTATTTTAAATAAACTACGTCAAAATTATACCCAGCAAATTAGAATAAATTCTGAATCAAAATTCAAAATTTATTTAAGAATACAATTTTGTTTTAATAGTGCTTAGAGATAGTTCAACCTGACCCATAGGTCAACGGACCCATAATCGCTATATGCCCTGACATACATATTCACTATTCAACCTGACTAAAAGTATACATATTTCTTTAGCAAAAATATGAATATAAATATATTAAATAAATATTTTAATTAAAGTTTTTCAAGTGAAATCGTTTTACAATTTTCTTTTATTAATTTAAATTTATTTTTTTATGAAAAATGATTAAAAAAAAAAAACAAAATACTATATCAAAAAGTATGCACATTTTTTTATAGCAACAATATGAATATAAATAAATTAAATAAATAATTTAATAAAAGTTTTTTAAGTGATTTTATTTTACAATCATCTTTTATTAATTTTAATTTATTTCTTGAAAAAAATATATTTAAAAAAAATAAATAAAATATATCAAAATAAAAAAGTTATGATAATTAATATCTAACTCAAGATACGAAAAGACTTTTTTCTTGAATTGCTTTCATAAAATAATACGTGCTTTTTGTGACATTATATTAACATTCCAATATATTCATTTCATTAAAATTCAAGCTTAATTATAATTTTATATAAGCAGGAAACGCAAATTGTACCGATATAAAAATTTTAAATTTAATATTAATTAAGTTAATATTTAGGAATTTGTTTATAACAAAAGTTTGTGATTTTAAAAGAAAACTTTTTTAAAAATATTCTATACATATAAATAAAATATATATATATAAATAAAAATAGTAAATATTTCTTTTTCACTTACCGATTTCCCCAATCAATTTTTGACACAACCATCATTTGCAATTCTAAAGTCTGATCCTGTGTTAATGTTGCACCCAGTAATTCTCTACGACTTTCCAGAATAGAAAGCATTACTTTTCGCAGCGTTTGAAATTTGTATGCTTCTCGATCCTAAAAGAAGACATCGAATTACATTCTATCGGGATAATCTTCAATAGTAAAAAATAAATCACAATACTTACCACATACAACTTTTTCCATATTTCAGACCATTCCCGTAAGACTTGTGTACATTCTGCTACTACAGGATCGATTTTTGTAAGATCTTTTATGTGTATGTAAGTTTTAGGAAAAAGCCCAACTGCACGCGATCTACGTGGGGATGTACCTCGATACCATTTCCCACATTCTTCCAGAATTTCAACAGAATCGCCAACATCAAGTGGTATACCGTAGCGAACATCACCATGCCAGTTATGGATAGCTATAAAAAAAAATAAAGTTAATATTAATATTTATAAAATTTATACATAGATATGCATAGAAACATAAGATGTTTCACATTTATATGTATTGTTATTAGAAGGAACAATAATAGACTTCGACTTTTGACAATTAATGTGTTAATACAGGGTAATATCTCTCAAGCTAACATTGACAAATCAGGACCTAAAAATATTGCTTGAAAGCCAGATTGACGCTCTGGATCATTTTTTATATAATCGTAACATATGAGCAGATAAAATAAGTAGAAGCTTTACGTCCACATTTGCAGAAGCCAGAATTGTATAATCCCCTCTTTATAAACGAAGTCCAGTTGAGAAACTAATGAATAATCATAACAGATTATAATAGAAATAATGCAAATTTATTTCATTTATATAATACAATTGCGAAATCGATTTAATAAATATCAAATTATGTCTGTTTTAATTACTAACTTTTTTTATATATAAAAACTCATCTAAAATACTAATTATACAAAGCACAAAGTTCGTGTTCTATTAATCATTTGTTTGGTTACTGTATATATATTTTGTGACGCTTATATACTAATTTGTGAAAAGGATATGTTAGACATTTAAAAACATAATAGGCTTATTTATGTTCTGCACGAGGGCCCATTGTGATACCACAAAGAAGTTTTAAAGAAAATTTGAATACAGTTACTCGCAAACCCACTTTATCGTTTTGAGAAATCGTTTTCATTCTCACATATGCCTGCTATACGTATACCTTCTAGGGCTAGTCCTTCTCTTCTCTTTTCCTCTTCCTTGTCTGACTCTCTCTTTGGCAGTAATTGATAATAGGTATCCCTATATGGTGTGGAAGGGTGTAAATAGACCTTTAGTACAACAACTCTTTACACCAACTAAAAACATAAAAGACTAGAGAAGTTAAAGATTTTACAGTGTTCTTACTATACCGGCTGTATGCAATTTATATTTCCTATTAAATTAAACAATATTTTATGTTATTTACTTCAGATTTTTTTCAATGAAATCATCATTGTTTTTAAAGTGAGTAAACTTTATTGACTGTGTTTAAAGTTCATAATGAAAACTGTCTGATAAATCATGATTTAATATTAACGTTTTTTTTATCATTTATATAAGTGCATATATCTTTATCGCTTTATGATTCATTGTTTAAAAAAGCATTTAATTAACAAACGAACTTCATTTAAAATATTAAAATAGAAAAGTTTCTATAATTTCAATTTGATAATGACACTGATAGTTTTTTTACCAAAACCTATTTAAAAATATTGTAAAACAGATGCAGTATTTTGGAAAAGTCCAATATTAAATAGTTCCGCTATTAATAGAAATCATGAATGCCATAGCTAAACAAACGTTCCACCTTGAAGGGAGCACGAGCACAAATATGTCAATACTACGTGCCATGCAACAGAAACGAAGTAGCTATTAACATTTCCATAGACTCACTCAGATAAGGAAAACTTATATGAAAAGAGGAAAAAATTGAATTATAAAATGCAATGATAAATGCACTTGGGCATACGAACGCCATGAGGGCGACAGCAGTCAAACTCCAGAGTAATGTTGCCAATTATGAATTCAATACACATATTCCGCCACTGGCAATGCACACTGCACACTGCACATTGAAGCTGCAGATAAACTTGCTGCTGCTTGCTATTTGCTGTTTGCTGACTGCCTGCCAGAGTAGTATAAATTTATAAAAAGAGATATAAAACAAAAGATATGCCAAAACAAAAGAGCAGCTAAAGATACGCAAAGTGCATTATGCGCTTATGAAAGCAGCAGCAGAACGTAAGACAACTACAATAACAACAACAAATTCAGCAACAGCAATGCAGCACACAACACTTAATTTATTTAAAAAAAAAAATAAAAAAAATGAGAATACAGTTTCCTGTTTAGGAATGACTGCTTTCAATATGCATCGTAAACGTCTATCAACGTCAGCACCAGGAACCAGAGTCGCCGCTGCCCTCTTAAAATTTATACGCTCTGGTCTCGAGACATTGGTCTGTGGCGTAAAAACCCTATGACTTTGTTTTTATGCAATCTGCTCCCTGACTTACGCTTTCATCTGCAATCTGCCCACTAAACTGCAATGAAGTAGCAATAGAGACGAACGGAAGGTCGACTCAATGGTTGAATGCATGCACGGACATATCAACATATCTAAGTACATATTCCATGTAATTACAACGTATATGTACAGATGCTGTTATATATGGAGGTCGTATATGGAGGCTTGTAAAATTTCTGGGTACTAATGCTATTGCTGCTGTTGCAGCTAAACTAAATTAATGTTCTCGTAATTTAATGACTTGATACAGTAACGCTGCATAGGCTGTATAGGCTGCATTGCCCAGGCAGCCTATGAGTGCACAGTTGGCGTTTGTGTTTATTATTAGTAAAAATTAAGTAAAGCTTATAATTCAAAGTACAATTTAAAGGGTTATTAACATTATTTAAGATACGTACTTGGCGTTGGCACTTGTAATGTGGCATCAACTGATGGCGGTTAAATTTTAAGGCCATAATTGATGGGAAGTTTAGTAATGAGGTGTTAAGTGCAATAAAGCATGTTTAACTTGTGTTAAATATGCATACTTAATAATAAAAATTATAGCGATATTTTTGTAAAAAGAATGCAAAATTTTTAAGTATTTTCAAATTTAATTACAGTGCTTTTATATTCATAATTTCAAGAGAACAATTAAATACGTACTTCCGTACTTCATTAACTTGTGAGAAAATAAAAATTTATACATCATTCGTATAATTATAGATCAGTAAACTTTTTTATAATTACGATTGGAGTAAATCCACTTGCACTAAGAGAGAACATAATATTTTAGATCAGATACTCCAACAATTCACTGCTCTGATAAAGTTCTAATTAAATATATTGTTCAATACCCTTTAGTGTATTCTATATTTCTGGTCCTCTAATTGGTTATTATTATGTTTTGATGTTATTAAATATGTACTAGTCATAAGCGTTCTAATCATAATGTCTTATATATTCCCCTAAGTAAGGGGTTATTTCTTTTATTACTTAGATGTTCCTTTCTAGTTAATCCATAAATTTATAAAAATGTAGCACTTGTTAAAAACAGCAAATTTTTAGAATATCTGCTACATCATCTTCTTACTAGTAGTGAGCGACTTCGATGATTTAATTATTGATATCAAACAGCTCCAGAACAAAAATATGCTCGCTACCAGAACTTCTGTTTATCTAGTAGCGCTCCGTTTTACATATATATTCATCTATTAAATACAATAAAACCGAATACTTTTAGAATCTCTGCTATATCATCTTACTAGTGGTGAGCGACTTCGATGATTTAATTATTGATATCAAAAAACTCCAGAACAAAAATTTGCTCGCTACCAGAACTTGTGTTTATCTAGTAGTGCTGAGTTTTACATATTCATCTATTAAATACAATAAAACTGCAAATTTTTAGAATCTCTGCTATATCATCTTACTATTAGTGAGCGATTTTGATGATTTAATTATTCATGTCAAATAGCTCCAGAACATAAATTTGCTCGCTACCAGAACTTCTGTTTATCTAGTAGCGCTCCAATGAAACTGTTACGAATATGTAAAAACATATGTGTTAGATTGTTAATTAGAAGCAGCGTCAAGTTAGCAGATATCCTTCACATCCTATAATTAGTGATAATTCTTCATTTTACCATCACATTCCTCGCGTTGAATTTGAGAAATTTAGTAGATATTTCATTTCTACCGAAGAACAGTCCGACATACTGTCAAATAATTTCTTTCTTAAAAATTAGATCATTCTGGTTGCCAAAACTAAACAATCACAGACAAATTGCAGGATTGTACCTTTTTTCTACATGTTTCCACGCCATCTTAAATAAATATTAAAAGGAATGCGAACTTTGTCTGCGTAGGTTCCTATGCATTATTGACCAAAAGAATTATGTTTTAAATAAGAAAGAAGTCAGGCAAAGTCTGTAATTTTTGGCGGACTTATGAGTTTTTATACCTTGACTATGAAAATAGCCCTAATGACCAACTAAGTGAATCCAAATCAAGCCCCATAAATTTCTTCCAACCAAGGAATTCCTACATCCTGCAGTTTCTGCAATGTATTTACAACATAGCGATAATTGATAAAAGTAATCTAAAAACTCTGTGCTAAATATGCTTATCTCATGTCATGCAATTATCTGAGTTCACAGAACATCCACTCTATTCGACAGGGGTTTTACACACATTCTTTTAAAAGAAACAAACTGACGCATGAGTTCCTGGCACTTATATTAAAAACTCCTCATAGAAGGATATAATTGACATATCGATAAGGCTAAATATCTTCTCCTTGGTTAGGAAAATTAGTTGTAGCACAAATGACTCTAAATAATAAAAATTTAAAAAAAACAGAAACAAAAAATTATAAGAATAGAAAGTTTTCTATAATACTTTAACACAAATGGGCCTACGTGGATCCACAAGGATCGTCGGTAATAATAAACCGAAACCTAAAGTTGTTTAAAGCCTTTGTTTACTTGAAATTTTAACACATTAATTGGATGAAAATTAAATTAATATAACATAAATATATGAATACATAATATAGATGATATTGTATATAATTTCACAGTTATATAAATTGTGTTATGACAAACAGTAGAAAAAGACAATTAAAATGTCATTTAATAGCGAAAAGTGGCCCGCGTTTAAATGTGCAAGCATTTGGGACGCTGTAATTAACTACAATGTTAATACCATATTTTCCTAGTTTGAGGAAAATGTTTTTAAAGTGTTTTCATTTTCTTTGACAAAATGAAAAACTTTCATGTTTATTAAAAACAGAGCAAAAAAGGCCACTTTCTTTTATATTGCGCAGTTTTTGTTTAGACACCAACAAAACTTGTCGTCTTTGCCAAAACAAGTGCCATAACTGAAACAGCTCTAAATAGGTCAGTCACATTAGAGACGTAGAATTTCTATGAACAATTTTCTACTTTCCACTTATGGCACTCCAGAGGACTAAGCACAACAATTTTAATGAGCATTAAGCGACACTTCTGTTCGCACAGGGATTGTAATGGGCATAATTTAGGAAAAACAAGGGTAAGGCAAGTAGGCATTAAATGTTTGGAGTTGTGAATGCACATTTCATTTTTATTTCGGCTTAAACATGTTTTAAGCATTCCATATAAATGACGATACCAGCTTTACATAAATTTTTTATTTTTATGTAAATTTATAGTTTACT